TGAAAACTTCCCACTTTGTAGAGGATTGGTTTGGAACCAGTCGCAAAGGTTGGGTTATGCCTATTCTTCCTTTGCAGTTTTCGCCACTACATTCAGCCAATTCATTTTATGCGCATGTGCAAAGCATTTTCCTCTCGTTCTCTCACCTGTCAACGCGTGCGATAGTGGTTTTTGGCTTCTGTTACCCCAACGAAAGGTATTCGAATGAAAATATGAGCGATCAATTGTGTGCAAAATCGTTCATTGATGTGCCACAAGCTGTGGCAATGTGTACGCAAGATATGCATAATGAGGGGAAGTCAGCGCACAAAAGGAATATCGATGAAATCATCTAACGAAGAATACGAAACAGGAACACGGAATCTTTGATGGCAGAAAATGTGAATTTTGCCATGCATCAAGAACTTTTTTGCTAGTATCAGATGAAAAATCAGTTGTATTCTTGTGGTGCATAGACAGTGCGAAATGTTTTTGGCAGTTAAATGTCTACGTAGTCGAGCATACTCTGGTACTGATTCACACCAGCAAGTGCATGTTTATAGCGCTCTAAACTTACGTGAAAGTCTCAAATTTGATCATGTTTCCTGCACAAAATCAATTTCACATTGGCGTTTTTTAATCGATCTTTAACATCAATCACGCTTCCCAAGCACACTGTGAGAGTATCATTAAATTCGTATTTGTTAATATTTATCGTTGTGATTTGTTTAATGAACCGAAAAGACTTACGATTAGGCATGAGTGTTTGCCTTAAATGCGACGTAATCTCTTCGAAAATTTACAGTCATTATCTGTCAGCGATAAATTACTGATCATGTTTTAGTAATCTGTTGTGTAAATGGTCAGCATAAATAAACGAGTATAGATAGTTATTTAGACAAGATTATAAAGAAAATATTTCCCGTTAAGTTTTGACTTGAACACTCAATGTGCGCTTCTTCAACAAAATGTCAATGGGTCGTTGAACGAGGATTATGATTCATCCTGTTGGTAGTCGTTCAGAAATCACATTAGAAGGTTCACTCTGTCAGCTTTCATAAATTGATCGATATACAATGGCTGGTAACTTTTGGCAGAGTTCTCATTGGTAAGTTAATTTTTACGGGATATTTTATTTGGTAATTTTGAAAAACTTCGTTTTTTAATTCTGATTAGATCCAAATGTCTTTTATCCACTCAAATGCCCTTTTCCAAGTATAATAATCAATTTTTGAATATGTTACAGATTACTGAAATCATTTTTTCGATTTTCAAGGGTGTCATGCGCTGTTCGAATTGAACTGTAATTCATGAGACTTTTGAGTTCCATTCAATAGGAGACCACTTTATTTGTGCGAAATGATTTGTAATCATATACCCTGAGTGAACGTTTATAACCCTGAGTTTACGCTGAAGCTTGTTGCACCGTTCGCTTTAACTTTTAATATCACGTAAATGTTGTTATTTTCTTTGAGGGAACAATGGATTCTCGATAAACAAGATATACTGCGTATGCGCGGTGATGACTTGAAGTGCATCACAGAAGATGAATACACCAAATTAATGATATTCTTCTGCAACTGTAAATTTTTTTCTTGTTGATCCTTATGCATATCAATCACTCAAAATCTGTATCCATTCTATATGCTCAACGTTGATAAATTGTTAATAGCAGTTCATAAGCTGTTATATTCGATAGTTTATTATCACTCAAGTGTTCAGATAATTTTCATAGTATTTTATTTACAAAATTGGCAGTTTCTACGATCAACTCAGTTAGTAAATTTCCGTTGACGAGATGGAACCCTTTCTAAACATCCGAAATTCACTCTTGTTGCTCTCAAACTGTGAACCTTTTATGCGGAAATATTTCTCCATTTACCAACAGAAAATTCAAATGAATTCGAAAAATTTCAGTTATTCATGCCATTGGCATGGATTCTCAGTTGCCACATAAAACAAGAATGCAAGTGATTGCATCCGCGTGTGTTTATTTTAGGCGTTTTTATGCCAGGTAATCTTTGACTTTTTCAATTATTTGTTCATTTGTTCGGAGTCTTGTTTTCAGTGCAATTACCACTCGGCTGAGAATGTATTTCCACATATGTTAGATTCTTTCTGGTCAATTGTTCATTTTGTAGAATCTCAAAATTCACCTTGAGTTACAGAAAAGCATTCTTTGGATGTCTCTTAAAAAATATGTGATTTAATCGATGATCCAAATGTATCATTTATCACGCTTTTTTGATTTTCGCAAGATAAGCTTTCTCCTCGTTCCATAAACTTGCTGCGATATGAATTTGAGGACTATAATCTTGTATTATCTGCTGATCTGGATGCGAATGCGATCAAATGATTGTGAAAAGCTCGGTTGCCGTGCAGTTGAGCAACCTACAAAATAAATGGCCATATTTGCAGACGTTCGTTGAAAGATATCGATCCATTTCTTTTGGCACCAACATGTCTCTTTCTTGCATCGAAGGTTGAAGAGCACGGTATGATGTCACATAACAAACTCATTCAAGCTACTAATAGCGCTTGTATGTTTTATTTTCGTTCCGCAACAGTAAATTACCACAGTTACTCATACAAACGATTGAATGAACCTTCTTGATAAATTCATTATGAAACGTTTGGTTACACGTTCAATATTTTCAAGTAAAGTTATGGAGCGGTAGTAAATTCGTTTTAGTGAAGCGTTGGCCATTTATTCAGCAAGAGCTAATGATACGTGTGCAGCACATTCAAGAAGCTGAATTCTTTCTTCTGGAGATTATGGATTGCTGTTTAATTGTTTATCATCCATACAGGTTCATTCATTTAATCTCTGATTTCACTTTTTTCTTCCTTTTCCAGGTGTTCTAGTTGTGTGTAAGAAACAAAGAATTTTGAATGGGATCATGAAGTACCACTGCAGCTAATACGAATTTTCAGGCGAATCGTGTCAACTTTGTTGTTGTCTGTAATGTTTCATTCGTGAGTGATTTTAGTAACAGTAAATTGAAGGCCACTGAATCAATTAATGGCGGAGTTGGTAAGGGATCACAAGGACTTAGATGCGCTTTCAGCAAATGCATGGAGAATCTGTAATGATACGACCAGGACTGATTTATCACTTATGTATCCACCGCATCAAATTGCTATCGGTTCATTTCTTTTGATCATTTTGTTCTCATTAGGCTACACATTAACCATCCTGTATTATTGATTTCATTTGCCTCTTTATGTCCACAATAAAGATGAATATGAGCTCAGATTCAGTATCTCTTGCAATGAGTTTCTTTTTGGTTCATTTTTGAAAAATCCATTCAATTTCAGTTTCTTTTCTAGAAACTCCTCATTATTCATTATCACATATTATCAGACGCATCATTATTCGAACATGCTCACAAGATTTCCCGTATATTGTTCTCGTTCTTCTTTCAGCATGTATCTTAATCGCATCAATATGGACGAATCATGATAAAGAACTGAAGAACTGGTTCGCTGAACTGGCTGTTGATTTTGAAAAGGTTAAACTCTATTGAATGTTTTGCCGTCACTTACGATTAGATTATCCACTTCTTGGATAATGCTTGATGAGGCCTTCATTTATGTGTGGTGTTCGTAATACCGACAGTAAGGTTGTCATTTCTTACAAATGCTAATTAATTTAATTAGAAAGTGATTTAATTTCAGATATTAGACATACAAAAGATAATATTGAATTTGTACAGCGTCTGGAAATCATTCGATGAGAAAGAGCAATTAGTTGCCATTCTACAAAAGATTCCACGACCGAACCCGGGCCCTCAGCAATCATCGCAACAACAGTCTCATCAACATCAGCAATCTCAGCAGCAAAACACATCAAGTGGTCTTGTACAGTCACACTCTCACACAAATTTATCATTGAATATGGCACATCAGAGTATGAATATGGGCCCTCCTCAAATACCGTCCTCAGCCAATATCAAATTTGAGACGCATTAACTGTTGAATGGGTGGACATGCGTTGCGGTATGGTGCGCATTTTGTTTAAGTGAATAACAAAAATACACCAATCAAGAATATCAGCAATTTTAACAACGACGATGAAACAGTCGCTTTAACTGATGCGCAAACGATATTTTGCACTAAGAAATCGAGAAACTGTGCTCACAGCACGTGAAAAATACATATCCGGGTGGCCTATCGACAACTTTTCGTAGCCCTGCAGGGCTTGCTTATGTAGTATTTTACGTTTGAAATTCGATAGGAGCGCTTGAAAATGGTCCCAAAGGGTGATCTGAACAGGTGAACCATAGCGGAGGAATTTTGTTGGAATTTCGTAATGAATTTGGATTAATTCTTTAAGTCGGCGAAATTTTATCGAAAATATTGGATTACGATATTTTGTCACTGTTTTTTATGTTGTTAACGGGCATTCATTCTTCATTTGAAAGTTGTTCATGTGATGGTGTTTCAATGATCCAAGTTCATGTTCTTCGTTGAAGGTCAAGACAGAATTTGTTATTCGGTTATTCAAATAATCATTTCATTCGCATGCTTGTTTTGGTTGAACTGGTATTGTTTTGGATTCTGTGTTCATTATTTGACGTTTTCTATTTCATAAATTACTGATTCATTTTGATTTCGTTTTTAGATACAAAATACATTTGCGTCATTTTTATGATCAAATTTTTGTAGGCGAAAAGAGGTTTCTTTATAGTGGGTTGTTGTCCTAATAGAATGTTATCATTATCAGTTCGTTAACTGAAGAAAATATCTTGTCGTGGGGATGTAAATCGTTGTTTTGGATATACTATAAATGAAATCGATGTTGTATAAGCGCGAAAATTGCATATGGATATTGAGGTGAATGAGTTGAGTAAGAATGAAACTTTCACTCACCAACAATAGGTGTAATCATAAAATTGCAATGTCATAAAGAATAATTACTTGGATTAACGATATGTATCAAACCAGATTTATGTATGTTAATAAATGTTCTTCACAAGTAAACATGACATGTCAATCTTCTGCATTGTATTGTACATTTAGGCCCTCTTTTTCATGAACCTGTCTATGTCGCTTTCTTCCTCATCCATGTTTAATCTGCTCGTTTCATAATTACCGTATTCGCTTGCATAACTTTTGTTTGTACAAAGTTGTTAGATCTTGGCGCATATGGATATACTGATAGTATTATTCATCTGTTGCATTCATTACTGGTGTTTATTATTTGTTGTGTATGTAATATTTAAGATTTATTATTGAATCTTTTATTCAGAACATTCACGTCATGTCACACTTATTGCTCATCACACTGATAATTTGCTTCTTTCCAGTAAAAACTGAAGGTTACGTTTTTCATTTCTCATCATGATTCAATTCAACAATTAGCATGCTTTTTACGCATTTTCGAGATAACCCAAGGCTCTCGGAATGAAGCAGGGCTTGGATGTATGGCTCGAAGTGGTATTTATTTCGCTGCAGTAAATTTGGTGTAGTTGTGGAAGATATGATCGTTGGCAGTAATCTGTATCTAGTGTACGATAGTGATCATCCATAAAGCTACATATAAACTGAGCAGTGATACAGTATAATTACGGGGTTTAAATTGATCATTGAAGCGATCAGTCTCTCTGTAGACTGTGAAGGAAGTGAAACATGAGTAGTGATAGTAAGATAAAAATTCAAATTAATCCTCCCAGCAGTAATGATAGTAATGGTCATGGTGAGGGTGTTATTTATGGTGGATTGTTACGAAGATGCAGTTTAGCGTTCGTCAACATCGATCCTTTCAATTTAAATATTGGTACGGATGTATACGGCAGACCACAAGTGGATCTTGGTACTATGTGGAATATACTGGGCTATGGATTCGGTGCGAATACCGACTGGAATGCGGGATTGGGGTCTTTCTCATCATCAAGTTTGTATTCTTATCTTCGTCATTGATACATTGGATTATCTGCAATGAGTGCGAAGTAAAATTCGGTTTTCGCACTTTTTGAGATGGTTCATTTGATTTTTCGCTTTCATTGTTGTGCTGAAATGTCGTTGAATTTCAGATGTGAACTCAATACTCGCTCCTGGTGGCCCATTTTCATTTGGCTCGTTTCTCGGATGGCCTCTCGGTAAAAAGAAATGATCAGCTGTGGGTGTCTCTTATATTTTCATAGTAGTAATCGCTGTTCATAGTGCTCTTTGCATTTTCAATGTAAGTTTTCTTTGTCGATTAGCGACTCATTAGTACGTTTCAAAAATGTTCATATACGATTGAAAATGAGAAAATTACTGCGAACGTTATTATGTTATTTGAAAATAATTTTGTTGATTGTAAATTCTGCCTCTGTTGTCGACAACGAAGAATGTAATAGTCATATGAAGCAGTTTCAAAACGACAAAGATATATTCTTGGTTAAAGAATACTTTCAAATGTGAATAAGTAAACCCATTCGCCGTAGATTGTAGATAAAATGAAACTTAAGGAGTACATTCATTATCGGGAATTTTGGTATTGCCAAGTTTTATGCAGTCTTTCAGCACTTGTCTCTGTGTTTATTTGATATGCTGTTCAGTATTCTGTTGATATTATACCTGTGATATTATAAAAGCAAAATGTTTCGATAAAATCATTTTACTCGTCGTTCTCACTGCAACGTTCATTTTCACCAAAATACTGCATAAAGTAGCATTAGCAGTGTCGAGTGGGTGTGTGGGAAAGTATCGAAGCGTTGACGTCTGAAGTGACCGACCGGAGGGTGAAGTGAGCCTCGATTGGTCACTAGCTTCATCGTCACTCTGTTCGATTCAAACATGCATGAATAACCTCTTCTTTCGTCGACAGTTTTCTGCTTACTGCAGTTGCCATTTTTTAGTACACCCTTAAAATGGAGTGAATGGAATGGTGCTATAATGAAGTGAATAGTGAATAGAATGAGACTACAGGTATGGTGCTATAATCGTGCTTGCAACTGTCGTTAAAATTTGCATAAGGGATCTTCTGACTTTTCTCAGGGAACTAATTTCCGATGCCACCGTAAAGAGATACTGACCAAGAGAACACATAACTTTACATTTTGCTAGGGCCGAGCATAGTGTAGTAGAGGTAGAGGAAGGAAGAAAGAGCCACGTGTAAATGTGCTGAAGTGGTGAAATCTGAATGGGAACGATCATTTTTGGTTGATGTTTCGTTCTTGAACGGAGTCTCGATGAGCGCTGTGGAAGGTGAATTTCGTTCGAGGAGTGCGCAAAAATTTGCTGTTGAAAAGAACAAGTCGTCATCATCGAGTAGAAAAACGACAAATGTGGATGAACTGACGGAGAAGCTTGATGCGGTGATGTTCTTCTTGAGATTACAGGTATGGTGCCATAATCGTGCTTGTAACTGTCTTTAAAAGTGGCCTTCCATGTTTTGCCTTCTTGTAGAAATTGACGTAAGTAGTCGATTTTCTCTTTTACATTCTAAAATCACTCACTATCAGAGGAGTGTTTGCTGAGAACTACAGCAGTGGTTGCATAGAAAACAGCATTAATTTTCGCTTTATTTTCCACTGTTAAAAATTTTGCTTCACATCTGAAGATTGCGATTTTTTAAAGTTTCAATTTTCAGTTACCCACATCCAGTAAATGGTTCTTGTTATTAGTTAACAAGATTTTTTTATGGATTGACGAAAAACATGTTACACTGCAATACGAAATATTGTTTTTGTGCATGACGTCTGAGGAAAACATTAGTATGAGCACATGTTACGAGCGATTATTAAACAGATGTATGAAAATGGCTTGTTACCAAAGAGATTCATAATTTAAGGAGAAGATGTTAAAGAGTCACTCGGGTATATTGAACGCAACGTACCTGCAACGGCTTGATGATAAGTGTAAAGGCAAATTTATCCCACCACAATCACAGAATAGTAAAGGTAATGAATGACCGACTTCGAAGGAATTATTTCCATCTGCCAAAAGTATACATTCATTCCCGTTGAGTTACCCACTCGATCGCAATTTGCTATTTCAGAAATTGAGCGCTCGTCAATTGCAGAGAATCTAGCTTCCGATTCAGACAGTGAACTGATTGATTCAATTGATGAGGATGATATTATTAGTGGCGATGATCGAGCGACGGCTGGAAAATGCTCATCGGTGAATGTCAGATCGGACAAATGCAGTACTTCATCATCAAACAAACAACAGCCCAATGAACTTTTGAGTAATCTTGGAAAGATGTTTTGCATTTTTGCGTTCAGTTTTCTGTGTCAGGATTCTAAATTAAGCGCTGAGCTGGGCACACTCGTCGCATAAGTTTTTCTGCGCATGCAGTACTGGAACTTTCACCAGAAATTTTTGTGATTTCTGCGTATACGCCAACATTTGTGAGGAGGACATCGTCAATTTGCTTCCATCATCGATCGTCTCTCAAATCGATTTCATTCACTTGCTTCATTCAGCCATTCAGCTGTTTCGTTTGTTACGAATTGTTCGCTTCAAAAACCAATCATGCATGTTTTTTTGTCACCTTCTGCGACTGAATGGTTGATGTTAAATGGCCGATGTTCCAATAAAGTAAATGAACTAATAACTTTCAAATTGAAGAAATGTTATTACAACGAGAAGATGCCGAAAGAAGTGATCTATTCGAATATTCGTCAATGAATTATGGATGTCTGAGTGAATTGAGTTGTTGTTATAGAATTGATGCGCTCATAAAGATGTGTGATCACTTAGCTAACATTGCTGTGGCGTTGCACAAGTTAATTTCCAGTCTTTTGTCCAGCTTATTTTTTCGATTAATCGATCTATTCAAGTAGCAGTCGATCTGATTGTTCCGCTTTTTTGGGTAGATTAACTTTGCAACATTCATTTTGATCCAAAATTAAAGCATCTTTCTTATATTTGAACAAAATAGTCTTAGATTAATGTTCACAAATTTTCGAAATCAATTTTTATACAATGTCCTTCCCTTTACATCATCGGCGATTTTCAAGGGTACATTCGATTGAAGTTTCTTCATAAGAAAAACCGACCACAAGTCTCATTCTGCATTAAAATTTGAAACTTATTGCGGTTTTGAAAAAAAAANAAAAAAAAAGTTTTCAGATCGCTTTCGTTGATTGGTGATAAAACAAAACTGAATGGAACGAAAATGAATCAATTGTTGAACGAGTCAATCAAATGTTTCCGAATCACAAATGCGATCGCCGAAATCTTTTCCATCACTCCATTACCGAAGAGTAAACTTCCAGATGAAGGAGTTCGTTGATTCAGTCGAATTCAAACAGCTTCAAATTAATTGCTTCAGTCGTAGTCGATGATCGAACCCAAATGCAACAGATATTCATCAGTGTATTGCAAATGATCATTTTAAGTTCATTCGTTAATCACACCATCATATCACCGTACCGTTGACAGCTCTTATTATCAAACGAATCCATGAAAAATGTTGCTGTACGATTGCGTTATAATTATTTATACACATGAACTGTGCTCAAAAGAATGCTTCTTGAAGCGTTTATCTCTTGAAGCATTCGGAATTTGCGAAATCATTCGTGCTTTAAAACATATTGCTGAATTTGTGTCAAATTTGATTTGGGAATTAGTAAGAGTTGACTTTTACATGATTTATATTTCTCTATATTTCTTCCTGAAGGCGTTTATTTATTCGTTTGCATCAGTCAATGATTGATGAGGTAATCCACACGACTGTTTTACTGTGAGGTAATTTTTGACTATTTGCAGAAAAAATTTCAAAAATATCTCAATTCAGACGACGAAATGGATTTTCTAATGCCTACGAACGAAGGTCTTCAAATAGTGTCCGATCCGGAGCAATACATTCCTAAATTTGAGTCACAAATTGATCATATGAGGTGAAAACATTCTTAATAAACAGTGATTGAGTGAAATTTTGTGTTCATTTTCATAAGATTGAGTAATTCAGGAGTGCAACGAATGAGATTGGCAGATGCTTAATAACAATAACGAGAATCATTCGGAGTGTTACGCCGAATAAAGAGTTGGTTAATGACGTCACTGAAGTTGGTTTTCATTTTGGCTCGTTCGAATGACGACAGGCAATATGATGCAAAACTTTGCGAAGAGAACTTTCCATAAAGTACTACGAAAACAGATTCAGCATTGAATGAGTTCCCAAGCAGGTGTCATCAGCAGTAATCGCAGCTGTCATTTGCATTGCTATTATCAAATGATAGCAATAATCAGTGATAATAATAATAATAACCGTAATTAATGTCAGCACAAAATCGAAATCTTGCTCGATACAATGCCTCCAAGTTGCGGCGAAATTAAACGCATTAAACTATCGCCATTCTCAGCGAAATTACTCGGTAAGCCACCGAAGGATAAGCCGTGTATGCGACATTTAACTGTGGTGTGTTCTGATATCATTGCCAAAAGTATTCTTTTTATTTTTCATAACGGCGACAACTCTTTTCGATATCTTTTTTGTTGTTCGATTGCATTAAGTGACGTGTCACTTGAGGAAGATGATCCGTGTTTATTAGTGGAAGAATTATACGCAAAACTGTGTAGAGGTGAAAAAGTATGGAATTTCGAGAAGGGTCCTTTTGTAAGGTGAAGAATTGACATTAATTCTTTTTTTTTCGAAATTCACATTGCTCTAGATACAACATATTACCGTATCAGTTGAGCGTAGATGGAAAATATGAAATTAATTCGCTGTTTTAAACTGGATTGTTGAAATTTGCATTTACGAATTTCCTAACGTCTAGAAACTAAGTGGTCATTCATTAATATTGCCTTTGAAATAGTTATAATTAATCTGAACTATGCTGAATGCTGACACACAACTATTATTATTATTATTAGAAAAAATAACATGAAATAGGTTTACAACGCTGGCAAAAAGAACCAAAAAGACCATCTATATACTTCAACTGATGAAAAGACTAATCCTCATCGGAATCAATCGTTCGAAGAGATTTGAAAATGAACAAAAAATTTTCAGCGACTCCGATGAAGAGACTGACGATGACGAGGAGGCATTGAATGATGCAACGAAGTCTGCTGAAAGTACTCATACAAAAATCGATTACACACAAAAATCGAACTCATCCAGAAGAAAGTGATGTGTATCTTTACACCACACTGCCAGCAGTGTGACAGTTGTTATCACATCGGTAATTCGTCATAATTTTCCGATAACGACATCAGTACAGCGATCAGTGAAGCACATCAAGTGATCGATTATACGGCCACAGTTATAGATCAATTGAAAATTTCTTTATACTAAATCAAAACGTGTTACTGACTTTACAATTATGCGTTATGCATTTCGTTTGTTGATGAGCTAGCAGCTGCCTGAACGAATCCAGCTAGCTATTCACTAAAGTAGTCGTCTGAGCTGTTATTCATCAATGGTGTTGATTTATAACTTCATTTCAAGCGTTCAGTTTACATTCTTATCTTTACTATCATGGGGATGCATTCAGCAGTAATTCTTATTTGTAGGTTTTATGCTTTTGTAGTGAGCAAGTAGGTAGGTAGGTAGAGCGACTCGAATTTTATTTGAATGCGCCCTTATTTCCATACATGCATATGTGCGTGCTCTTAACGGTGCGTTTAGTTCCCTTAACCGAAAGCAAGCAATAGAAATAACTTATTCACTTGAAAATCCCTCATTCACGAGAATAACGGCTACTGAAAGGACATTATGTCAAATTTTTTATCTACGGCTATATGAGAAACCGAACTAGGGGCAACTAAACGGCGAGATAACGCAAGAGAGAGACGACTGGACTTTTGCTTCTCATCAGTGTAATCGCCGTGCTGGCTGCTAACACAATTCTGTTGTGTAGATTCGTCTGCATTAGTGAAAGATTGTGGAAACATGAGAGGGTCGTGAAGCTACGAAGGAATTTACATGGAAATAATTAGGTGAGCGTAGAGAAATGAACGCTTGTGTGGGTGTAAAATAACGTAGTGGAAAAATAGAATGCGAAAAGTTTTGATAAAGAAGTGAAAAATAATTGCTACGCATAAAGAGTTTGTGAAAAGTGGATGAAGGCAAAGGAAGCAAAAAAGTAGAATGTGGATTGCATGAATGAATTGTGCAAAAAATTCCCTCGTAATTTTTTCTCGGCCACATCAACGTTTACGTGATATTCGCAATTTTATTAAACTTTAGTAACAAATTTCAACTGGAGAAAATGTTTTGTTGGAACAGCAATATGAAGGGCGGTATCCTTTTTGAGTGCGAAAAACGACAGGAACGAATGAGAAAATCGATGAGAGATTGCGCGGCGATCGCGAAAATGAAGAAAATAATCATGAGAGCTGAAAATATTTCAGTTAAAATCGCTCAAAGTCATTTTCACAGAGTCCATCCACTACACACGAATTTGCTCGTTATTTGATTGCAATAATGCATTTCAAAAAAATCACAATCGTTGCCCAATTCTCAATGTTCATGAGCAACTGAATTTTATCAGTTTATTGACGATGAGTGAAAAAACTTCATGTGATGCATTTTTGTGTCTAGTAATGCACGTGATATGTGTTTTTTGATAAGCTGCTCTAATAATAACATTCTTTTGAATGATGTTGACAATAGAGCATTACATTTTCATCACTTTCTTCTATCTTAAACAGTTCACGTAATGTCGATTCATACATGTAATCAATGCCACACTGTTATCCGGATGCATTGTTACGATGAAATTTTCTCTTTGAATGTTAATTTTCCTGGAATAAAACTTTCAGAGTCATTGCATTCCTCTAATATCAAACTTTTACCAGAGGCATTCGGAGATTAATCGCTCTCTCTCAATTTTCACTGCTCATCAAAAATCGTTCTGATTTTGGCATCAATTACTAATTATTTTAGTCATCTGCTTCCTGAAAATTCCCCAGTAATCAGCCAATCAATTTATTTGCCGTTTTATATATGCGTCAGCTGCTAAGTGGTTAAATGTTCTTTTCATGGGTTGGATGCCTGCTAAATGGAATACAAATCCAAAAGTTCGCTCAACTAGCTTGACTTCGTAAACCAAAGAAATGAAGCAACATCTGCTTTATGTTCACGATGTTGATGCTGATAAGGTTTCAGCGAATATGCATGTGATTAAAGGGGATATCAACTGTACATTAAGTGGAATTACAAATTAATTTTGTCAACTCTCTCAATTCCCTCTCCACCCACCTCCTTCCCCCTAATCATATTGCTGAAATTTTTCGTTTTTTTTAGTTTTAACTAAAGTGTAAGTTGAAATCATCCATTAGTTGAACATTATTTGTTCACTTCATGAGTATTTGCAGAAAAATGTGGCAAAAGGGGGGAGCGGTTATAAAACTAGTCGAACAATCAATGTGAACATTATGTGGTTGTGATTCAGACTTTTTGTCAAAATGATTGCTGAAATTCGACGATTCTCACTTGCATACGATGCAAAGAATTTATGGCATTGATCAGAAGAACTAAAACTCATTTGCTAATTGCCTCACATTCACAGCTGAATGAGGCATAATTAGCGGATCGTTGATGCTTCATGCGCCACGATAACATTAGTTCGGTTGCAACTGGGCAATTTTCAATGGTTGAATAAGAAATGAGATCGCGTAATTCGTTTCAAAAAATAGTAAGTTACGGTTAGAGAAATTTTTATGAGTGCGTTTGCGAGGATGCATTTGAATTTATGTTTAAATGGGAGCAAGTGTCTCTGATAAACATTCACTCGCGTTTATGGGTGAATAGTGCATATTCTCGTTCACAAGCCAAGTGCCGTCATAATCATCGACGGAACAACGCAAGTCGTGAAAAATGCTGGCCAGTCAGTCCCTCACTTATTGTTTTTAGAGAAAAGTAAATCGAATTGTGGTTTTGGGAAGAGCTCAAGAACGCGGAAGTAAAACATTTTTGTCTGTTTATTGGACCATCCCATTGAAGAGGGCAAAAATTTCACATTTCTCTGAATTCATAACTAAAGTTGTTTTTTTTTACTTTCTATGGCTACATGAGAAGTGCTTTTATTCAGGCAAAGAGATTTCCAATCTAGAATAGTCAGTAATTTTCGCAGGTTTTTTGTGGCAAGCCATTGTTTGCATTTGTGATTCTCGCACGGCGCTTGTTTGAAGTGTTGTTTGAAGTACTTTATTTGAATGAAGTGAAGGGAAAGATCGGTTTAACAGCGTTTCGAGAAGAGGAAATCCCATAGTTTTCATTGATTCCTCAACAACACGCATACTTTTATACTCTATTTGATGCTAGTAGCAATTATTGTGACAAAAAGTGACGAGTTCGGAGTTTGAATAGTTCTGATGTTTTCGCTTTGTTTACATACTTTCCTCTTCTGTTCAACATTTCATTCTTATCAACTTTACTATTGTCCATTTATTGCTTATCACTGCATTGTCTTCTTCATTTTACATTTTCATCTCATTTTTTGGTAACATTTTTGGATTTTTTCCCTCAAAATTTCTTTCTTCATTCTCTTCTGCTCTTATTCTGCAAAAAGAAAATTCCACGGTCCTTGCCAATATTTTCAGCGCTATGGAAATGATAAATCATCTTCAATAAATCGCCAACTTTGATCCACATTGCTGACGAACATTAGCGATACTCATCTTTCAGATGAATTTATACTCGAAAAATGATAAGTAAACGGTTACTATAATTTTTATATTGACATTTCGTAAGAACGAAAAATTTTGCATTCGTTGTTAAATAATAATTGCCTTTCGATAATGAAACGAAGAACATCGACATTTCAATGCGTAACATTTTTTTTCGATTACATTCATTCATCGCCCTTTCCAGTTTTGTCTTTTAGGTTCATTATTTTCATCTGAGAAACTCTCTTCACGAAATGGTCTATTAAGCAAAATTATCACAATATTATTCAGCAAGACGTCATTTGCTTGGCTCTCTGAGGACATCATCTGTTCTTTAACTGTTTACTTTTACAGCCAACCTTTCTAATTTCACACTCCATAATGGAAAGTTCCAGGGTGAGGAACTTCTCTACAAAAGCAGCCTTTGTTTCATATAATCCTGCATCTTTATTGAATTATACCCGCTGTATGATATGCTAAGATTGTGCAAAGCAGTCATCTGAACAATGCATGCATCTTCACAGTGACAATGACATTCAAACTGATGCATTTATTCAGACGTAGTTAAATTCAGCATCTAAAAAAGACATCGAATCGCAGCATTTGTCGAATCAATCAAGTTTCCTCTCTGATCGTGAGTCATAAATCACATATTCTCATGCATCATCTACATTTTATCTTCATCATTCACTCATCTATGGCCATCTCACTTGAAATTCTTATAAATTGAAGTGCTTCACTGACAGGCATGCATGCCATCTGAAATTTTCATAGATCGGAGCCTTTCACTGTCAGGCTCTGAATTATGCGCTGTCGACGAGTGATGTTGTCAAATGGTTGAATGCGTCTTTCAAGATGACAACATTAAAACACCAATAATAAAAACGATCGAATAGGAATAATTATTTGGAGAGAATTGTTCATATGAGGTGCATTTTCAATGTGTACAGACAGCGTTATGCGCCATCCTTCCTTGCAACTATTTCTTTACGATGAATTTGATTGGAA